ATTCCCCCGGGCGGTAGAGCTGCTTGTGGTGGTGAATGACACTAAACTGCTCCTTGGCATGGTGCCTGGCGCACTCTTCAGATGCCTTTCCTGTGCAGAGCAGTGCCAAAGGCACTACCCGCAGTGCTCAGGGCTCCCCGGATGTGTGCCATTTCAGGGCCCTGGAGGGGTAGCCTACCCCAACGTCCGCTTCCCAGATCAGGGAGCCGAGCTCTGAGTGCTGGCCTTGGCCCTTGGTCGCCAGGCCTTTAATCTGGGCAGGTGTGCTCTGCCACTCTGCCCTAGGCGAGCAACACCCGCAGTAGCTGCCCCATTTCCTTCTAATGACCCAATTTGTAGTTTAAAGAGGAAAAGCTTAATCTTGAATCTCAGGGCTAAGCTCCTCATTACCTAACCCTTGGTCTAGCCATGACATTTCCTGAGGGCACAAAGCTAATGATAGTCCTAAGAGAGAATGAAGTGTCTCTCTGAGACCATCAGTCCTCTGTGTCCTCCCTGCAGTGCTGCATGAGGCTCGGAGTCCATAGACAGGTGCTTTGAGCAAATCCTTCCTCTCTGGGCCTCCGTCTTCCTGTGAGGTGGGGCGTGTGGCGTAGGTGGGTGTAAAAAGTGGACTTAGTAATACCTGGGTGACCTATTTTGAAGGGCTGTTGAGGATGAGGAAGACTGGAAGTGTTTTATCAGCTGTGAGGTGTTCATCTCATCATTGCCCCACCCCAGGCCCCTTTCTTACCAAGTGACATAGCGAAGGAATGATCCGGAGTTCACAGCAGGTGCCCAGCAGAGCTGCTCCGTTATCTGGCATTTCTGCAAAAGACAAAAATCAGTCACTTTACAAAACAAAAGCATCCGTAGGAACAGAGCCAGCCCTGGGCTGTGCCTAACGTATACGTCCCTGCTCTCCGGGCAGAGGTATGCTCAGCAGTTGTTCCATGAATGAATGGCGCTGAACAGGCAAAAAGGGTCTTTTAGGAAATAGAGTGAAAACAGGCATGTGTTCGCCAGGGGATGGGCCCATCAGGGAGAACGGCACAGACTCGGGGGATGCAAGGAAAAGTAGGAAGAACTGGAATTTGGTGACAAAAGAGGTGCGTCACTGCATATTTGGGGTGTGCCTGGCATACACCTCTCTGAGCATGTTTCCTCAATGGATCAACCATAGTTCTTTTTGTTTTGTTTTTTGGCGTGTGTCAGAGAGCTGAGTAACCTACAGTGACCTGGGTTTAGAACCCTTTAGTCCTTCTTAGGAGGAAAACACAGTGTGGCCTGACGAAGGGACGGCACATGGACCTCTAGAACCCAAGACTGTCAGGCACCACCCCAGAAGGACCTGCCGAGCCCCAGGGAAAGGAGATCCAGGTCAGTGCTATTCAGACCGGTTTTACTCCCTCCCCAGGTAAACAGAGGCAGCTCCCACAGGAGCCGCTCCTCCGGGACACAACCTTTGAGCTGAAAAGGCAAAGGGAAAAAAAACGAATCACCTGCTGACTCATCTGGCCCAGAGACCATTTGTGAGCGCCCTCCACCTCCTGCATTCATTAGCAGCCGTGATTACAACCCCAACACATTCAGAATTTAAAAAAATAAGTCATGAGCATGTAATGAACGGCTCATCAGCATATGGACCTGGGAGAGGCATTCTCTTTTTTAATTCTTTGAAAACTGGAAATTCCTGGGCTCTGTTCCTCCAACCCTGAATGCATCAGGAACTCAACACCCTGACTAATGCCCCCTTGAAGGGGAGTGGTGGGGACCAGGAAATGGGGTCTTGCCTTTCTGAACAGGGACTAAAGCCCTGTCTCCTCATGTTAGGAGGGCTACCCTCTGGCATGGTGAGCTCGGGGCAATGGGTAGAGGGGTGGCAGGCGGGCCACTGCGCATCTCGGGAGGGCCGTGCCCCTGGCAGGGCCGCTGGACGAGTTGTGGAGCTGCGGAGCCCAGCAGCCGAGGGCTTCGGGATGCTCCCCGCTGCTCCCTGCCCTGATGGCCGCAACTCGGGCGGTCAGTGTGTGAAGAGGGTCAGAAGGACCGAAATAAGGGGGGGAGAACTGCCAGAGGAAAGCCACTGCCTCTCACACGGCCGGCTCACGCGACTGACAGGCTGGGTTTTGGGAGACGCTTTCCTGGGTGGTGAGGGGCGAGCCCGCCGACAGCCCTCCCCGGGAGGAGAGAGAAGGGCTCTGCCCAGAGCGCAGGAGCTGGCAGTGGACAGGCCTCCGTGCTCGGCTCTGGGACTTCATGGCCACCATGCAAACCTCCACCGCCCCCCACCCCTTACCCTGCCCACGGCTGAAAGGAGCCAACCACGTGTGCCAGTCTCCACCGTAGGAAGCACAGCGGTTTCAAAGCAGCAGCAGGACCCCGAGCCGTACCTGCCAGCGCACTGACCAGGAAGTAGGCCGTGGAGAAGAGCTTCCCGTCGCTGACCGCACCCTCGGGGCCCGGCTGCCCGCCCTGCACACTGCACCCCACCAGCCGCAGGAAGGCTGTGAGGTTCTGCCTCTGGGGGGGCTTCAGTTCCCCCAGGGTCGCCTGTGAGGGCGACAGGCCGCTGACCACGTCGTCACACTGCAGGGGAGGAGAAGAGACCGGGTGATGCAGCAGCCCTAGCCTCGGCTGTCACCCAGGTAGAGCAAGCCTAATACTTCCTCACAAGGAGACAGTGAGCCGAGCCCTGCCCAGGGGCTGTGCTGTCACTGCGAGGGGAGCCGGCGTGCAGGGGCTGTGGGGTAGCGCCTTCCAGGGCAGGGGCTGTCGGGTTGGACCAGGGACTGGACAAGTGACTGCACGCAGAGCTGAGGGGAACATGAAGGCACCGTCCTCTCACGCTTTACACTTGGCACTCCCGCCCCAGCCACATTCCCACCTGGGCCCAGGGAGCCTCAGCCATCGGCGTGGGAGGTGGGTGGTCCTGCCAGCAAGGGCTGCCTGGCCACCCGGCACCGCCCAGCCATTGCAGCCTCCACGTCCAGGTGCGTTCGTATGAGAGCCCGCGGGCCCCCGCCACCCAGGCAGCTGATGCTGGCCTGACATTTCCCTCTTGAAAGAGACATTTTAGAAAGTAAAAGCAGGCTTTTAAACATCTGTGCGCTCCCTGGGCCAGCACACCCTCCCAGGAGCTCTGCATCCCCCAGAACGGCGGGGGTCCTGGCTGGTGACTGTTTCAACACGGCTGGTTCCATCATAGTTGCTAAGCTCTTCTGACACAATCCAGTTTTGAGAGGGGGAAAAAATACGCTCCTCTGGGCGCCATGAAGCATTAAATCAGAAAATCAGAGCTCAGACTCTGCATAAAAGAAAACCAAAAACAACCAACTACAGCAGAAATCAGGCTTGTAGCTCCCCGGCCTCCTGCAGGGAAGCGGAGCAGAAAGCCCAGGTGGATGGGGTTGGCAGCCGGGGTGTCCCTCACCATTTCTACAACTAATAGTTAAGGAACTCGACCTCCCCAGAAAGTCCTGCCACAAAACAGAAAAACACAAAGGCCTGCTTTCCAGTCTAAGTAAAATAGGTTGGCTTGTTGGGCTCTACCACATACCCCCCCTTGCAGTGGGTTGAACAGTGCCACCACCACCTCAAGTCTATCTGGAACTTCAGGATGTGACCTTATTTGGAAGAGAGTGTCTGCAAAGGTAATTGAGGTAGGGGTCTTGGCATGAGATCCTCCTAGGTTGAGGTGGGCCCTAATCCACTGGCGGATGTCCAGTAAGAAACAAAAGGAGGTGACAGAGGAGATGGCCGTGGGAAGAGGTGTACACTGGAGCGATGCAGCCACAAGCCAAGGAATGCCAGGAGCTCTCAGAGTGAAGGAAGATTCTCCCTTCCAACCTTCGGGGGAGCATAGGCCTGCTGACGCCTTCAGAGAATCAATTTCTATTGTTTTAAGCCAAGAAGTTTGTGGTCACTTGTTACAGCAGCCATACGGAACCACTGTACACCTAGACTCCTGGCATCAGCTACCTCTCTGCAGCTAGGAAACTAAGGACCTGGGATAAGAAGCAAAAAAGCTCTAGTGTTCCAGAGAGGTGGGGAAATCTTAAACGCAGTTTTTGTCTCCAGCTCAGGCCAAAGCCTCTCCCAAGCAGTCCAGCCTGCCCACATCTCCGGAACCCCGAGGGGGAGACCCTGCGCCTTGAGACATCGCTGGTCTTACCACTTGTTCCAGGACCAGGAGTAACTCCTCATCAAACAGGACCGCCTGCAGGACGCCGCTCAGCGCCGCCTGCTGCTGCTCCGGCAGCTGCGCAAAGGGCTGGAAGTTCCTCTCCAGGGGCACAGTGGCTGTGGGGCAGCAAGCACACAGGGGGCTCAGGACGGCTGTGCACGCAGAACCGGGCGGCAGCTCGTGCCTTTTATAGCCAACTGCCCTCAGCTCTGTCGTGGACACGTCAGCTGCACAGTCCGCCGTGGAGCTCGGAGATAAAGGACATGGAGTTAAACACCACCCTGCGTGTTAGGAGGGGGGGGGGAGCAAAAGGGGGGCTGCCCCGCGTAGTTTCAGACTCACTCAATAGTAAGTCTAATGGATTATTTTTCTGGAAAAGTCATTTAGGCTCCTTTCTATAGAAGTAAATGATCACGGCTGAGTTACTAAACATCAGTCTACTATCACTGCTTCACAGCCATGCGGCTTCCAAAATGCTACCTTTCATCCTTCCTGCTACTACATGGTCCACTTTGTACCCTTTAATGTCTCATGCATGTCAGAGCGGCTGGCCCTCTGGTCATGGCGACACGGCTGCTGCCCTCGCTGGTCCCTTCTTCACTGTCTGTCCTGGAGAAGGGTGCTCACTAGGCCCGCTGCCGGCTCACACTCTGCAGGATCCAGAGCCTCTCCCCTAGAATCCTCCTCTTTAACCAGTTAACTGCCACACATCCAAAATGGAACCATCCCCACACGCCACATTTTGAATTGACTTGCATCTATAGATGCTAATGGCGTACAAAGGGTTAAAGACAGGCAAAAGCTCCTAGTAAGTGAAGCCAGCGGGGATGTGAAGGCTTGTGTGTAGGAGGTGCTCACTCCTGCATAAGACGGGGCCTTCACTGCCGTTCTCCAACACGATTTTTGCTACAGAAACAAAAGCGTCTTCCGGTCTGGGCCTCGCTGGCGAGCCTCACTCCTCACCTCCAGCCAGCACATTCTGAGCCGCTCCTGGCTCCTTGTGCTAAGCTCTCACATAACCATTTGTTTCTCCTTTTCTTTGCGCATCTCCTACCCTCATCGCCCCCAAAACCCCTCCAACATTTTAAAACTGCTGTGGGGGGCAGGAGGGGTTGCTGCAGACAAGTCACAGGTCGCCTCCTCCCCCCAGGCCAGCACCCACGGCCTCGGGCCACGTGGTAAAGAGCCTCCAGGAGACGCCGGCCATGCTGACCGGGCCAGGCCATGTCTTGGCAGCGGCGCCTGGACTAGGATGTAACAGATGCAGAACTCGGGCTCTCTCCTCGCCACTAACTAGCTGTTCCTCGTGGTCCCCAGGCTCCTCTGTTAAAATGGAAGAAAACGCCAGGTGCCTGCCTCTTACACGCCTCAGTCTCAAACATGGCACCCCAGACCGAGGCTCCCTACGACCCGGCCCAGGTGAGTCCTGAGTGCGCCAGGCCTGACTCAGGCACCGTCATTGCTGTTCTCAAATGCTCTCAGTGAAGTCACCAGAACCACCGCTCCTGAAGGCCCCCTCACCGCCTGGGTCACATCACCTCCCGGGGTACAGTGCGGGTCAGCCCACCATGCCCCGCCCTGCTGGCGGTACCTTGTTTTAAAGCACTCAGCGGTCCATCAGGCACAGACGGCTCCCGCCCGGCATCTGGCATGTCTCCAAACGCAAACTCTCGGAAGGGCTGGGGGTCCAGGAAGATGGAGTCGATTCTCCTCTCGTGCTCGAAGCCACCGCACTTCCCTTGTAGGAGGCAGAATTCTGCAACACAGGAGAGGACAGGTCCGCACAGGGAGACGCCCACCTCCTCCCCATACGCCTGCTTCCTGCAGGCGCTGCGCTCATCACGTCCCAGAAATGCCGGAGAAACGGTGGTTCCTGCCGCAGTGCTCGCCTGTGTGTGTGCACAGCAACCTCTCCTCTGCCCAGTTTCAACAAGCCGACCCGGAGCGGACACCTGAGCTCACCGTACATGAGTGAAGCTGGGGATGCCCGAATCTGCTGGATTTGACGTGACCGAACTGATACGATTACAGAATTATTGACAGTATATTTAGGTGCACAAGTGGTTATGTTATATTGTTCTTCTTAAAGAGTCAACTTTATTAATAAAAAGAATACACAGCAAAAAATGAACTTTTTTCTACAGTTATCTGAATGAATCTCAAAATGCTAAGTGAAAAACTAGTCTTTTTAAAGCCTTACCTTTTTTAGATACTTAAATATTTATAGACAAAAACAATAGAATACCTAGGACTTACTTCAAAACAATTGAGTGGGGGTGGAGGGAGGTGGGAAATTACCGGTGGAGCATAAATTGCCCTCATTCTTGAAGCAGGAAGTACATGGGGTTCATTTGCTATTTTTGAGCATGTGTGAAATTTCCCATAAAAATTTTTTTAAAAAAGGGGTGGCAAGGCCCTGGCAACCCCGTCTGCCCCCCACCCAGACTTCCATGTTTGAGATCCTAAGGTATCTGAATTGTAGGCTAAAGTGTGGCCGTTCTCTGTCCTGGGTGAGCAAAAACAGCAAGTGACTCACGAGTCGGGGTGCTTCCTGGGCTCCTTTTATGGAGTAAAAGTGGCTGAGCCGCGTGTGGGAGGCATGGTGTCGGCACATACCATCCTTTGCCTGTGGGCACTGATGGCATTCATAGAGGTAGAATGGCTAAGGCATGAAACTATCCCCGTTCACTCATGGATCACACTCAGCACCAGAGCCCAGCTCACTCGCCTCTGCACCAGGCGCGGAGGTGAGTGAGTGTGAACTGGCCCCCAGGGGGTGACTTTGCTCCCCAAGGTCAGGACAGGACCCTCCACAGCCTCAGATCCTGCCATGCACCCTGGAGCCCCCAACTGGTTCTAGGAGCCATGGCACCAGCACCACTCCTGTCTGGGCGCATGCACCGCTCCCCCCCCCCCCCGAAGGCACCGCCAGTCCTTTCATTTTCAGCACCGGGCACTGTGCTGGCGGCCAGGGATCGGAAAGGGCCACGGCTTCGCATGGGGCGGGGTGGGTGTGGGTGTTGGAGGAGGTGGACGGTCAGGTCACTGAAGCCAGCGAGGCAGGTCTGGCTGCCCCCTAAAGGCTCGGTGGGAGTGAGCACTCCACGTGGACTCGCAGGTCAGACAGGGCAGAGACGGTGAATGCGCCCTGTGCCTGCCAGGCGTGCTGGCCCTGAGGGAAGGCTGGCCACGGGCAGGCCCCCACGCACCTGGGAGACCTTCTCCTGGTTCACGGAGCCTCGGAAGGTGTTGGAGCAGGTGAGTGAAATGACCAAACTTATTTTTAAATAATCGCATCTAGGATGGAGTGGCTCCGGGAAGCAGTGGAGCCGATGAGCCTGCTGGGAAACGGGGGTGGGGGCTGAGAGCCCCTCATGGGCGCTGACAGACGCCTCCCCAGGAGCAGGGAGGGGGTTGCACAAGAGGCTTGTGAGATGTGCCCCCCCCCAGAAGGCGGGAGGGGGTCAGGCAGGCTCTGAGGGCCCCTCCGGCCCTGAGGCCCGTGTTTATGAAGCTGGATCAGAACATTCTGTGGCGACAGAGAACAGATGGGGAATAAAAGCAGAACCGGCTCCCACGCAGGCACGGAGCCCCACGGAACCGGGACCTGGCCAGCAGCTGGCGCGTGGCCGTCGCAGTGGATGGCAATGAACGCAGCGGGCTTCCCGCCAGAGCCTGGACCTGCGCCAAAGGACCCTGGAGAACTAATGCCCCAGGGCACCTCCTCTCAGCGGCACAAAGAGGAGCTATGCGCTAAGACAGCGGAAGCTGGCCAAGATAACAGGCTTGAAATGGACATGCAAACAGGAGAGCCACAGAGGCCAGGCTGACTTTCCAAGTCCCGCTGAGGAAAGAGGCCCCTGAGGTGGGACAGGTGCCCCAGGGCTGCCGGCCCAGCAGGCACCCACCTCAGGGAAACGCCCTCGCAGCCACACTGCGCAGAGCGGCTCCCCAGCCACCCAGAGGCTCACAGCACCCACGAGCACCCTTGGAGCCGGTGAAGCTTTGCCAAGTGACACCTGGACCATCGTCGACCCATCTAGACAGGCTCCCCGAGGGGGGAACTCCCTGGGGTGCACGTGGTATCACAGCTTGTCATGTGCTGACAACAAAACAATCACCTGATGCAGTTTGTTCCACAGACAAATGGCTTTCAAACAGAATAAAATAACACACATTTGGAACCAGGCATCTAAGAGCTGCAGGCATGTTTCCTGGTGTCCTTTTCCACGTGTCCCCGTCCACCTTTTCCGGGCCAACTTCTCAACAGACACTTCCCTTCTGCCACCTCCCGGGGCTGCATTCTGCGCCCCCGCTGCCCCTCCTGCAGGTCCTCATGGGCCCACAAGGACGGTCAGTGTTCTGAGTGCCTGTGGCCACCGCCAACAGTGGACAATGCATGAGGTGAGCACAGAGGGCCGGGGCCCACAGGACTTCCTCCTCCGAACCTGTCCTGGCCCCGACAGGGACTGCCTGGGGGCACGCAGGAGCCGGCAGCAGAGGTGTGCGCGCCGGTAAGGGCTCACTTCCTAAACGTTTCCACTGTGAAAACGGGAAACTGCACGCGAACAGAGGAATGCAATGAACCTCCACGCACCCACCGACCAGCTCTGCCCACCCCCACCTTCCTCTCCATCCAGCCTTCTTCCAAAGCAAACCGCAAACATTACCATGTCACCTGAGAAGACGTCAGTATAAAGCTCTAAAAAATAGGTGGCTTTTTTACAGACGTATCACCGTACCTACAAAGGTCAACCATCGATGTTACATGTATTCATTCACGTCCCTGAGAAGCGAGCAGTTCTCTTGGACTCAGTACACCATCTTCTCGGGGAGCGCGCAGGGGAGGGGCCGTGCCACCTGAGCTCCCCGACACCTGCTAACCCCAAGCCCCATTTTCTTGAAGGACCCAATGCCCAGGATGGGCCAGCCTCAAACCACCGGTGACCAGAGGGCAAGGCCAAGAGCCACGTTTCTGGCTTCGTGTTGGGGGGAGGGTTGTGAAACGATGATGTCCATCCCTGAGGTGGAGAACTTGGTGAACGACCACGATGCCAGCATTCGCTGTGCCTCACCGATTTAACCCTCCCGCCCCATGCGGGAGCCCCTCCCAGGTGGGCAAGGCTCAGCAAGGCTCCACAGCTGGCCGAGGCCTCTCAGGTCTGTCTGATGGCAGAGGACACACCCTTAACCCTGCATCGTGCTGGTGAAACCGCACCCCACACGCTCCCAGCGCAGCCCACTGTCCCTTGTCATGGGACAGCCCCGAACACTCAGGATCTCGCGTCCATCCCCAGTGTGCACCCCAGGGAAGACAGCCTGTCCCTCAGCCTTGGCTCAGTCGGCCAAGAGCCCCAGCAGGAGGCAGCACTCACCGAACTGGCCGTCCAGTTTCACGTACAACTCGATGACACTGTAGGCGATGGTGGTGGGAGCCGGGATCTCCAGCACCACGTTGGTGTCCTTGGCGACAGTCCCATCCTCCGTAGCTGACACCTGTGGGCGGGAGCACACTCTGACTTGTGTGCTCTGCCCCCCTCTCTCTCTGCCTCCCCCAGGGCCTCGTGCACATGCCCTCGAGGAGTGGGAAGGGGGAGCCTCATGACCTACACACATTCCCTAGTAAGTGGCCAACCTGGTGGTACAACGGTGAGGTTCCAGAGACCGGGATACAGTGAACTTAGGTCTCTGGTGATGAATCAGGTAATGAGACAAATAAGCGAACTTCCCATTTCCCTCACAGGATTACAGGAACTGCCCTGAAGTCCTAATGAAAACCCTGCCCAACAGGAAAGCCTGAGGGGGAACCTAGCTGACAGCCCCCTCGTGTCAACCCAAGCCCTGTGGGTGCCCCTGGGCTGTTAGACAGGGGAGGCTGGAGGGGAAGCAGCATGGGGTGCAGAGCCCCTGCCCCACCAACTTCAGCCCTGGCTCGGGGCCAGTGTGCTAAGACTACAATGTGATCCAGAAGCACTGCTTAGACCAGCGGTTCTCAACCTGTGGGTCGCGACCCCTTTGGGAGTCGAACGACCCTTTCACAGGGGTTGCCTAAGACCATCGGAAAACATAATTACATACTATTTGAGAATTACATGTTGTTTTTGTGGTTAATCACTATGCTTTAATTATGTTCAATTTGTAAATGAAATTGGGGCTCACCACAACATGAGGAACTGTATTAAAGGGTCTCGGCATTAGGAAGGTTGAGAACCACTGGCTTAGACAGACAGATGTGCAGACCTTTGCCTTCCCTCAATCCGCAAAGGCTTTGAGCAGCCAATCCCAAAGCCATTCTGAGACCCCTGACTGTCAGGGGCTGCGGGGGCCATGTGGCCGGGCTGGTGCTCCTTTGACCCATCTCTTAGGGCAGTGATGGCGAACCTATGAGACGCGTGTCAGAGGTGACACGCGAACTCATTTTTTTGGTTGATTTTTCTTTGTTAAATGGCATTTAAATATATAAAATATCAAAAATATAAGTCTTTGTTTTACTATGGTTGCAAATATCAAAAAATTTCTGTGTGTGACACGGCACCAGAGTTAAGTGAGGGTTTTTCAAAATGCTGACACGCCAAGCTCAAAAGGTTTGCCATCACTGTCCTAGGGACTGAGCCTGACCCACGCTGGCATGGCCCGCCCTGAGCGTCCCACTGCCCTGGCCTTGGGTCCACTTCAGGAATGGGTGGCCCAGGACGGTGCCCTGAGATCCAGCCTGAGCTCGCCCCTCGGGTCCCAGCAGGCAGGGAGAGAACCCATCCGAGGGAATCCACTCCCTGGAGTCCTGGATCCAGCAGTGACTGAAGCCAACCACTCCTGAAGGCTTCAATTTCAGGAGCCAATAAATTGTCTCATTTAAGCCAATTGCGGTTCAATTTCTGTTAACTTGCTACACAAAGAGCCCTGATGAATGAAGACACCACCACCGAGGACCCTGACCAATGTCCTCAGGGTGGAACCAGTGAGGTTGCTGTGGCCTTGCCCGGTGCCAACGACCCAGCACATGCGCTCCTGCACGGTCTGAGTTTGGACCCCGCCATGCCGCCCGCACATGCGCACCTGCACGGTGTTGGTTTGGATCTCACCATTCTCCCCATGCCCCCCCACCCCCCGTGCGCACCTGCACGGTGTTGGTTTGGATCTCACCATGCCCCCCTCCCCCCGTGCGCACCTGCACGGTGTTGGTTTGGATCTCACCATGCCCGCCCCCCGTGCGCACCTGCACTGTCTGGGTTTGGACCCCGCCGCGCCGCCCGCACATGCGCACCTGCACCGTCTTGGTTTGGATCCCCACCATGCCGCCGCACTTCTCCTCAATCTGCACGCGCTCCGATATCACGCACTTCTGTGTGGTCACTATCTTCTGCGTCAGCACGCACAGGACCTCGTTCCGCCTCTCCAGCACCTGCTGCAGCAGGGGGCTTTTCAGATTGATCCTCCTGAGAACAAAGACGCCGTGAGTGGCCTCGTGCCTCGGGGGACACACAGTGTGAATTTTCTCCGCCCACACAGCGCGTGGCGGAGGAGTGAACAGGTGACAGCCAGCATCTTATTTCCTGCGATGAGAGGAGGGGCAGGAAGGCATCAACCATCCCCCCGGGGCGCTGGGAGCTGCCAGGCCCCTGGACACGGGCTGGACACTGGGGGAGGGGAGCCCTGGTCAAAAGCAGCGCTGGTTGTCAAGGAGGCGGAAAGGAAACACAACCCAAGCAGGACCCGCAATCCTCCTGCCTCACACCTGGGGGCCCCGTTTTGTCAGTTAATCAGCCCTGAGGGAGCACAGGCAGCCTGGCCGGGCCCAGAAGTCCAGGGTGACCGTGGAGGGGAGGCTGACCAGGTCCTCACAGAGGGGAGGGCAGGCTTCCAGTGCAAGCCGCGGGGAAGATACCAGATCTGAACGAAAATGGGACCTCTTCACCTGTCAGTCCTGGGAGGATGTCTTAACTCTTACAAAGGGGTTTGCACCATTTTACAGATGGGGAAACTGAGGCCCGGTAGGCATGGCCTGCTCAAGGTCACCCAGCAGACTCAGGCTCCCACACAGCTACTCTGGGGAATTTCAAGAATAAGCTAAATTTCCAACTACAGGAGATGATTTCACGCTTACGAGCCAATGAAATAACCTCTCCGGAGATTTCATTTGCTGAGTCTATGAAGTGGACAGGAAGAGAACAAATTCGACTTGGTTCTGGCATGAGAACAATTGCAGTGCTCATCCTGGCCGTGTAAACATCCCAAGGTTAGTACGTTGAAAAGCTCAGCAGCCACAAGCTCACCCCCCTGTCCCCCACTTCAGGCAGACAGACTCTCAGGGTTCTGAAAGTGCCCCCATAACTGCAGTGAGCAGATGGAAGGTCCTGTCTCCACATAACATGCTGCCTGGAGTGAAAACAGCAGGTGTCCATCAACAGAGGAATGGACAGACAGCTGTGGTGCATGCTCAGAATGGGATATTATCTTATACTGTATATATAAAAGGCTAGTATGCCCAGTGTCCGTCCGACCAGTAGCTATGACATGCACTGACCACCAGGGGGAAGATGCTAAATGCAGGAGCTGCAGTGACTTGGCAGTGGCAGTTCTCAGGTGATGCAGCCCGAAACCAGAGAGAAGGGAGCCCGATTCCTCACGGGGCTGTGCGATTCCACCTTAGGCCGTGGGTCATGTTGTTGCTGGGGCACTGTCGGCCCTGATTCTGGTTTACTGCACACTTGCGTTTGAGTTCCACACCCTGGGTGACAGCAACTTTGCAGAGTGCTCTTTCACACTCTGGGATCCCTTGGGGGATGTCAGAGAGCTGGTTTCAGCTGGATCCCTGCAGGCCAGGCCGAGGGACCCCACCTGCCAGAGGGACCCCGCTTACTCCGCAGATGCCCTTTGAGCCATGGCACTACCCCAGGTGCGGCCAGCTGGGGAGAGACCATGAGAGACTGGCTCCAGGGCATGTCCAGCCCATCTCACCCAGTCCCACCCTGCCTAGACCTGCCCCTCTGGCCACCTTCTAATTAATTTCCTTTCAATGTGCACGAATCCACGCACTGGGTCACTAGTTCAAACATAAAAGTCCTGATGCATGCTACAACACGAACAAACTCCGAAGACATTATGCTGAGTGAGATAAGCCAGACACAAATGGAGAAACATTGGACCATTCTGCTGCTGTCATACAGAGGGACTTGTATGAACTATCTAGGCAAATTCATAGCGACAGAAAGGACATTTGAGGTGGCCAGGGCAGGGGAGGGGAATGGGGAAGTTCTTGAGGTGATGAAAAAGTTCTAGAAATGGATAGTGGTGTTGGCTGCACAACAGTGTGAATGTCCTTAATGACTTTGAATTATACACTTAAAAACAGCGCCCCACCCCCTAGCCGGTTTGGCTCAGTGGATAGAGCATTGGCCTGCGGACTGAAGGGTCCCAGGTTCAATTCCAGTCAAAGCATATGCCTGGGTTGCAGGCTCGATCCCCAGTAGGGGGTGTGCAGGAGGCAGCCAATCAATGATTCTCTCCATCATTGATGTTTCTATCTCTCTCTCCCTCTCCCTTCCTCTCTGAAGTCAATTAAAAATATATATATTTTTTAAAAATAGCACCCTGGCCGGTGTGGCTCAGCTGTTGGAGTGACCTCTTGTACACCCAGAGGTCCTGGGTTTGATTTCCAGACAGGGCACATACCTCAGATCCTGTCAGAGCACATATAGGAGGTAACTGGTCAGTGTGTGTGTTTTTCTCTCTCTCCTCCCTCCCTCTTCCTCTCTCTCTCCCTATCCCTCTCCCTCTCTCTCTGAAAATCAATGAACGTGTCCTCAGGTGAGGATTAAAAAATTAGTAATAAAGTGACAAATTTTGTGTTATATATATTTTATCACAATAAAAAAAGTAAAGACGTAAAAAAGCATCTCAGCAGTGGTTAAAGAAATGCAAATTATAACAGTGTTTCACACATATTAGCTAAGTCATGAAAATAAATAGCAACAACAAAAAGCTACCCAGACTCCATTCTCGGGAGGCACACAGAGCCGGGGCTGGAGCCTGCCACGCTGGGTGCCAATCCCCGCCCCGCCCTGCCAGCTGGTGACCTTGAGTGACTCACCCCATGTTTGCACTTGGGACTTCTCGTGGACACACTGACAGTCACTACACTGTCCGTGTGGGATCGTCGCAAGGTTTAGATGAGCACGATGTTAACCGATAGCTGACTCCAGCCACTCCCCGGGCTCCTCTGCTGAGGCCCACAAAGCAAAGCCACGTGACGGAATTACAGCTATGTAACTGGGTTGGAGGGACTTTGTTATGTCACTCACTTGCTTAGAAGCCCTCACGGCCACATCACATCTCACCCCCACCACACACACACCACACATATGCACGTGCACACACATACATGCATGTGCATACATACACACATGCACGTGTGCACACACACATACACACAGCCTCAGCACCTGGCCTGCCCTAGGCAACCCCACCTCCTGCTTTCTCCCTGTGCCTTAAACACGCCAGGCACATGCCAGACCCAGGGCCCCATCCACAGGTGCTCATCACCTGGGGAGGCGGTGTTCCCTGCTCACCCCCATCCCACTGTCACGTCCTGAGACCACCTCAGAGAGCACAGCTCCACTGGTACTTTTCTAGCTCCTTCGTCTGTGTTCACTGCCCATTCCCTCCTGAGTCTAGACCAGTGGTTCTCAACCTTGGCTGCACATTAGAATCACCTGAAAATCTGTTTAAAATCCTGATTTCTGGGCCTCATCCTCCGGAAATTCTGTTTCTTTGTTATGGGGTGGGGCCACAACATCAGTAACAGAATTTCCAAAGGATGAGGCCCAGAATTCAGGATTTTAAAAAGATTCCCAGGTGATTCTAATGTGCACCAAGGTTGAGACTGACAGTGGTCGGCAAACTCACTAGTCAACAGAGCCAAATATCAACAGTACAACGATTGAAATTTCTTTTGAGAGCCAAATCTTTAAACTTAAACTATACAGGTAGGTACATTGTTATTAACTTAATTAGGGTACTCCTAAGGCTTAGGAAGAGCCACACTCAAGGGGCCAAAGAGCCGCACGTGGCTCGAGAGCCGCAGTTTGCCGACCACGGGAGACTGTAGCCTCCACGGAGGTCGGGCTGTGCCCAGCTTGGTGACAGCTTATCTCAGGACAGGTGCACGGCAACGACTCAGTACAGGTTTTGGGGATAAATGATTGAATAAAATGAATTAGAGGGCTTTTCCCCCTTCCTCTATGCGCTGTAATGAATGTGTAAGTGTCTGAATCTATACACATCCATGTGTGTGTGAGAGAGAGAACGTGCGGAAGGTGGAGGGAAGGGCGGGTCTGTGGTGCGGGTTAAAGGATGATGTGCAGATACAGACCTTCCTGGGGGGCCTGTGTGGTCCTGAGGCTCAGGCACTGACCCGCCTCACAGAGCCTCCTCTGACTGTCCTTGCCACGCCCTCCTCCATCCGTTCTACCTGGTTCCATCTCCTGCAGGTTCCTGAAAACTGACTCCCTCATTCCAGTTCAGGCCATGGCTCCTCCCTGTGCACACACCTCCCAGCCCACAGCCCAGACCTGTGCACACACCTCCCGGCCCACACCCCACACCTGTGCACACACCTCCTGACCCACAGCCCAGACCTGTGTACACACCTCCCGGCCCACAGCCCACACCTATGCACACACCTCCCGGCCTACAGCTCAGACCTGTGCACACACACCTCCCGGCCCACAGCCCAGACCTGTGCACACAACTCCCGGCCCACACCCCAGACCTGTGCACACACCTTGTGGCCCACATCCCAGACCTGTGCACACACCTCCCAGCCCACATCCCAGACCTGTGCACACACACCTCCCGGCCCACATCCTTGACCTGTGCACACACCCCTCCCGGCCCACATCCTTGACCTGTGCACACACCCCTCCCGGCCCACATCCTTGACCTGTGCACACACCCCTCCCGGCCCACATCCTTGACCTGTGCACACACACCTCCCGGCCCACATCCTTGACCTGTGCACACACCTCGCGGCCCACATCCCAGACCTGTGCACACACCCCTCCCGGCCCACATCCTTGACCTGTGCACACACTTCCCTGCCCACAGCCTAGACCTGTGCACACACCTCCTGACCCACAGCCCAGAACTGTGTACACACCTCCCGGCCCATATCCTAGACCTGTGCACACACCTCCTGGCCCACATCCCAGGCCTGTGCACACACACCTCCCGGCCCACATCCTAGACCTGTGCACACACCTCCTGGCCTACAGCCCAGGATGACGGCAGGGACAGCTAAGGCCTAGCGACCCTGGCATGTTGGGAATCACCGCACCGCCTTGTGCCTTAAATAGATCCACTGAAAGGCTTGTTGTTGTCTTAGCTAAACATGGTTTGGAAAGAGAAAAAAAAATTCAGCCTAGACCACCCCAGGCTCCATTGCTTAAAGGCCCACCTCCCTCCAGAACCGCCCAAACACCGAAGGAAGAGGGGAAAGTCCACTGCAGGAGCGTGACTTCCTCCTGCACCCGATGGCAGGACAGTCCTGAGCTGCTCGCGGGGCCAACTACACACCCACCCCGTGGGGCAGAGCCCACCTCCAAGGCTATGACTGGGGTGACTGGGGGGAGGGGGACAGAGGGCGCCGTAGACATTACTCCTGGGCCGCCAGCAGGCGGCAGGCACTGCGGGCACTCTCCAGACGGCTGGGTCCTGTTTGCTGGGCGCTGCTGCCACCTTTTGGAACTGAACGCTGGACAAGCCTACTCACCTGAGTGAGAAGGGGAGACCTAAGACAGGTCGCTTACTGTCAGGGTAAACGACTGCCCTGACCCCGAGTGGATTCTTCCCCAGATCCTGCCCGTTAGCAGCGGTTGGGGAGGATGTGGCCGCCATGGCGATCTGACCCGAGACCTGAGAAGTCTGATGGGGGTCCCATGAGGAAACCTCACAAAGAGGCACACGGAAGAGACCCCTTTTCTGCCTTGTCATCTTCAATGTGGCCATTTGGAGATAAGAGAACTAGGCTGCTGAGACCAGCAATGCATGGACTCTGCCACAGGGGGGCTCCACTGAGCTGCCGAACTAACCAGCCACCATTAACTCAGGGTCAGGGTGACTCACCCACCCTCAGATGTTTTCGTGTGTGAGGCAATCACAGGTGTTCTTTGCAACTAAGGACAACGTAACTGGATCCTAAAGTCACTGTCGCCCTTATTTCACGGAGGGACACGTAGCAGAGAGAGCTCATAACCCAGAGGCACACGGCTAACAAGGGCCAGGAGAATGTGGCGGGGCGTGTCTGTCCCTGAAGCCCTGTGTCCTCTCTTCCCTCTCCCTCCTGGACTCCCCTGGGCCCTGCATACAGAAGGCACTTAATACGTGCTTGTTAACGAACAAGAAATCTGTCTGCCCAGTCCTCCTGGGAGCGCTCCCCAGAGACTATCAGTGGATCCTCTCAGAACTGGAGCAGCAGTGGGGGGGAAGGGGGAGAGGGCTCCCACAGACCATCCATTTCCATCATAGAGGAAACTTCCCACATCCAGAGATGCTGCATCAGCCAGAGCCTCCAGCAGGAAATCTCCAGAAACCTGCTCACCACATGGATGACCAGGCCGCCCACGGTGGCTGCCCAGCTCTGCTCACATTATGGTCTGTGTCATACCTGGCCCACTCCCACCCCCCACACCGAGGAAGCCAGAAGACAAGCGGCTGAGGGGCGTGGATGTTCACCCTATAGTGGAGGAAGTAACTGCCCCCAGGTGGCGAGAGGCAGCAGGTCCTACCATCTCTGAAATCGGGGTGTTTTAACATTGACAGCGAGGCGGTTTGATTGGCAGGGTGCTTACCTAGTGGCACACAAAACAGTGGAGCATCTTACAACGCGTGGTATCTTGGATGTGATGAAATGTGAGCATGCCTGTCAATCTCTGAAGATGAGAGCACTCGAGTCTCCCCTTAGGCCCTACATCCGGCTCGTTCCAAATAGCTCTGCAGTAGCCTTGTAAAGCTGAGCTCCCGGATGGGACCGGAAGGAGCCACGCCCAGAGCCAAGTGCCCCTCCCGCAGGGGCGTGCCAGCTGTCTGACTGCTCTGTGCACAGAAACCCCCGAAAGCCAAACAGGCTTCCCGCTGCTCCCCATCCTAAGAGCCAAGACCCAGACCAGGAGACAGAATAATTTAGGGGGAAATGACAATAAATGGGCTGCCTTCAGACCACACGGAGACCGGATGGCCCGGGAGGTCTCAGGAAAGACACCTTTCGAAAGAGTGCATTTGATGGGAGCTTGAGGGCTGCAGAGCTGCTCTTCCCACAGAGGATATGACGAGAGACGAGGCCACCAGCATTCACTGACTCTGTCCCCGGGGCTGGCTTCCTACATCTTTGTTCAAGAACTGAACAAGCACCTCCTGCAACAAGCAAAGCACGCAGAGCCCTGGCCGGTGGCGTGCAGAATTTGCTTTACAATATGACAAAGAACGAGAGTGGCATCGGCCTGTGTGCTAACACCCCCCTCAACCCCACCACAGCCAGCTAAGCACAGCAGGGCAGCATCTCGGGAACCGGCTGGAACCGAGGCCTGAACACAAGGGAAGGAGCTGGTGCGACCCTCACATCCGACGATTAGCCGGGAGAAAACCCTCAAAGGTCACCTGGTCCAACGACTGCGCCTACAGCGGAGAACGGGGGCAGGGGCAGAAGGAATGATTTCCCAGGAATAAAATTTCCCAGGCCCCAGCTGATTAGAAGCAATAAATCTGTGGCAGGGATGGGGTGGGTGTGGTGCTTATTCTTAAGGCAGTGACCTGTGGCAGCTGACCATGCAAAACAAGGCAGAAAAGGTACAGAATTTATTACAGGATGAGACATGATCCTAAGAACAAAGCACGAATGTGAGTCATCACAAAACGGTCTCAATAAATGTGTTATTCTTCATTCAAAAAAGAGGAGACAGACGTGTGACCTGTCTTAGCGGGGTTTCCATCGCGCCTGTTTTCAGGTACGCGTAGAGCTCTCACTCGAAGGGGTCCCCTCCGTGCATCTGGAAGGCTCATTCCCGTGGCATGCCCTCGTGCCCAGCAATGCTAGATGAGCGTTATACACACACACTGGCTTCTTCTAGGCCAGCTGAGGTTTGTTTTTGAGATGGGCACACATCTCGTGGACAATAAACAGAGCACTCTGGATTCCGAGGGCTAAATAACATGTATACAGACGACAACTTATCTAAATGACCTGAAATAAAAACAGCTGATGCAAATAAGCCCTCAAGAACGTACAGCACTTAAGCCATTACTAACTACCTCTCCCAAGGCCACACGTGTATCAAATAGCGTCTTATCAATCCAGTGATACTGTGGGCGTCCAAAGATGGGCAGGTGAAGTAGGTAAGAATTTATGGCTCCAGCGAAGTAGCAAGAACATTAGCCTTACGTACTATCCAACCCATGGGGTGCCTCACTTTTACCTCTTAGCAACAGACAAGGGAGAGGTGGCTCTGTGGTAAGACCCTTCTTCCATTTCTGGACTTTAAATTTGTCCTTTACCACGTTCCCACTGTCACCTGTCCTCGCCCCCGGCAACCCTTGGACTGGGGCAGAGGTAGAAGGGACATACCAAGCTATAGAAATGATTTCCCAGGATTAAAATTCCCCAGACCCCAGCTGATTAGAAGCAAGGAATCCGGGCCAGAGATGGGGTGGGTGTGGCGCTTATTCTTAAGGCCACGTGACCTGTGGCAGCTGACCATGAAAGATAAGGCAGAAAAAGTACAGAATTTATTACAGGATGACACATGATCCTAAGAACAAAACACGAATGTGGATCATCACAAAACGGTCTCAATAAATGTGTTCTTCTTCATTCGAAAAAGAGGAGAATTACAATGAACGGGGTTTCTGAAGACAGTCCTGAGGTGATCTCATCCCGGGGAGGGCAGACCTAGCTATTCACCTGGGCTTGCCCAGGGAGACGCAGTCCACTGTCCAGCTCCCAGGTACCCTCACTGGGGACCCGGACTCATGCCTCTGCCTTTACATTCTCTGCTACAATTTTTTTAAATATATATTTATATTGATTTCAGAGAGGGAGAGAGAGATAGAAGCATCAATGATGAGCGTATCATTGATCGGCTGCCACCCGCACGCCCCACACTGGGGATGAAGCCCACAACCCGGGCACGTGCCCTGACCGGGAATGGAACCTCGACCTCTTGGTTCATAGGCCGACACTCAACCACGGAGCCACACTGGCTGGGCTCTCTGCCATAGTTTTATCTAGGTTTTCCTCAGCCAGACAAAGACACTACAAAAAAAAAAATTACAGGCTATATCCCTGATGAACATAGATGCAAAAATCCTCAACAAAATAGTAGCAAACTGAATTCAGCGATACATTAGAGGGATCATTCACTATAATCAAGTGGGATTTTCCCAGGATGCAAAGCTTGTTCAATATCTGCAAGTAACATGATACACCACCTAAACTGAATGAAGGATAAAGTCATATGATCCATCAATAGATGCAGAAAAAGCATTTAACAAAATCCAGCATCCACTTGTGATTCAAAAAAAAAAAACCAAAAAACTTTCAGCAAAGTGTGGAAACAGAGGAAACACACCTCAACAACATAAAGGCACCGAGCATTCCATACTGTTTCCCGACCTGACAAGTGTCCACTGGGCGCCCTTTCAACAAAGATCAGCCAGGCGCGGTCCTCCTTACCTGCCAGCGGCCTGTCCGAGGAGCTGCTGCAAGTCCACCTCCTGCTTCCTCAGGCTCCCGAACGAGGACTGGCTCTCCACCAGGCCTTTGCCTCCGACATTCAGCTTGACCTTGCCCAGCGCCGTCTCGATGGCCCCACTCACGTGGTTTTCAAACTTGCCCTCGTATTTCACGAAGTCCGACTCCACGACCACTGCAGTACAGGAGACATGGATCCGATGGCGGCACGGCCCCCTCTGTGCCTCAGGTCACCCAGCTTCCCCATCCTGTGCAGACCCGTGGCAGACACGAGGCTTGCGCCCCAAATGGAAAGGTGGCCGCCACGCCGTGTGTGGGCACAAGAAAATGGCCCCAGCACCCTGGGTGCTGAGAGCTGGTGTGAATGCATGGATGGCCAGGGGCTCTCCTGGGGACTTTTTTTATTTTTTTTCTCTCTCAATTCCAATACACACAGGTATAAACAAGGACACAGATAGTACCTGTGGAATTTAATGAATATTTGTCACGTAAACATCCATTTAACCACTCTCCTGGTGAAGAAATAGAATGTTCTGAATGGGTGCCTTCCCGGGGTGAAGGAACTAGTGACGATGACACGGAAACAGAAGAGCCAGCCCAGCCAGGACACACACGAGTGTCCTGCGTACTCAGTAGCTGGCAGGTTGGCCACCTGGCCTTCCCCGTGGGGAATCTTCCCTCCCCACCCACCAGCCTTGGAGAACTCTCTCCTGGCCTCACTGCCATCTCCCTGAAAATAAGTCCCTTCGCAGACTTATCTGATGATATCTGACCTCTACCCGGTAGGCAATTCCTTGTCATGCAATTCCTTATCTCTGTCTTTCTGCTGTCAGCGGGCATGCCCTTCTCCCTCCCTCAACCACCACCCTCCCTCAGACACACGAGCTCCAGACTCTCCATTCTCCCTCCCCGGCGCCCAGGCACTAAGGAAGGTGCTACCACCCACCTGGTGTCCGAGCTTCCGTCAAGTCTCCGGGGAGCTGCCATGCTCCCCATCTGGTCATACCCAGGTGACTGCTACAGATTGCCTTAGAGATCGGCCCTTCTTATCTGAACACTAAAGATAAATATCTGGTGATCTCAAACCTGAGCCGCCGCTCTCCAGATTTCTATTGCTTAGATTTTTTTCATCCAACCGAATACCATTATAAAAACAGCCTCAGTCATCATCCCTCCGTAACATACACCGAGAGTCTCCTAGGAAGTTCACACCTGGCTTTTTCCATTTCCCTGACCCAAGGGTCGCAGGTTCAATTCTAGTCAAGGGCATGCACCTCAGTTGCAGGCTCCATCCCTGGCCCCAGTCGGGACACGTGCAGGAGGCAACCAATCGATGTGTCTCTCTCACATCTGATGTGTGTGTGTGTGTGTGTGTGTCTCCCCTTCCACACGCTCTAAAAATCAATGGGGAAAAAATATACTTGGGTGAGGATTAACAAAAAATTAAAAAATTAAGCTATAACCTTTCATGTCAGGTCTGCAGAACGATGTCATTTGAAGAAAAGAGATGTTTTCAAGGCCATAGGCAAGGAACAGAAAAAATCACAAGGGACCACCTTACAATCACTCAAGACAACATGTGTCTAGAACAGTGGTTCTCAACCTTCCTGATGCCGCGACCCTTTAATGCAGTTCCTCACGTGGTGGTGACCCCCAACCATAAAATTATTTTCGTTGCTACTTCACAACTGTAATTTTGCTACTCTTATGAATCGTCATGTAAACATCTGATATGCAGGATGTATTTAGGCGGCCCCTGTGAAAGGGTCGTTTGACCCCCAAAGGCTTCGCGACCCACGGGTTGAGAACCGCTGGTCTAGAAAAACCATCATCTTCTCTCCTGGGACTAACTGGAAACAAGGAGAAAAGGAAACATACCTGGATGCAGACACTGGTCTTCTGTGAGCACATCTCCAAGGCTGACGGATAGAAACTGGTATTTGGGTCTCTGCCAGCACCAGAATCTGGTTTTTTTGGTCACCAGACTGAGAAGTTGTAACTTATCAGAGTCATTCAGGTTTGATACTGCAATCAGGTTACCTCCATCATCAACTTCTCTAAGAAAATTCCTTGTTGCTTTGGCAAACATTTTGAGAACTCCAGATTACCTGGAAAAATAAGGTTATCCCAAATTAAGTAAGTTATTATTTTGTGACTTTTTTTTTTCTAAAATTACCTAATTTCTCCCTAGTACCTATCCGTATACATGAAAAAATACCTTCTCTCTAGAAAATTCTCTAGCTTGAGTTCAGAAGATGACCAAGAAATCAAAGTGAAAAACTGAAAGAAATATCTGTATAAGTCAGGATAAGTGAGGATATGCTTCAGAAACAAATAACCTCGTCTAAATCTTAGCAGCTTGTTACAAAAAAAGGTTTATTCCTCACACTACATGGCCAGCACAGGAGGATGGGTGAGCTATGGCAACACAGTCATTTAGGGATGCAGACTGAAGGGGCAGCCATCGCCCGAGCACGTCAGTCATCATCTGGAAAGTCTCACCCAAGCAATGAAATGCTCTGGCCCCGTGGTCGGCAAACCGCGGCTCGCGAGCCACATGTGGCTCTCGCGAGCCACGGTTTGCCAAGCCGCAGTTTGCCGACCACTGCTCTGGCCCCAAACTGACAGGCATCATGTGTGCTCACAATTAGTTAGAACTAGTCACATGGCTTTAGCCAATGATTATGCTCAGGAAATACAATCCTACACCATGTATTTGGAAGGCGGAGACCTGGAAATATCTGCGGAACAACATACTGACCACCCCAATTTGTAACTTACTTATGACCACTTCTAACGGGCTTTTTCTCTGCACTCTGTGATTTCCCCTATTCATAAGCGGAAAGTAACCAGCTATTACTTTTTAACCCAGAAATGAAGGCCCAGTCACACTTCAGCTGGGGGAAGAAAGAAGAGACACATTGGGAGATATTAAAGGACTGTATTCAGTGAATGAATTCTAGACCATTTAATAAATGGTGCTATTTATTGCCATACACAAGAGCAAATTCCCAATGGATTAGATGTGGTGGTGTTTTTTAAGGAAAAATGAAACCATAAAAATACTAGAAAAAAATACAGAAATATTTGTACACTTGTAAAATGAAAAAGGCCTTTAGGCAATGAAAAACTGAAAAAAAATTGTAGTATTTATAACAATGACTAGAAGACTTTATAAAAATTTTTACAGATAAAGTTTTTAAATACTATAATATAAACATAAAGGTTATTAACAATTCACAATACGTAACTATACATGTCTGCACACACACAAATACACACATATATAAGCATTCTTTTAAAAAAGCACAAACCGAAAGAAGATTTTTTAAAACGATCCATGGTCAAAGGTTAAAATGTCTAATGGACAAGAACTGTGTTTTATTTGTTTTTGTACCTTGGTGTCTGACAGGAATGTAGATAATAAAATCATAGAATGAGACAGCTGGGAATAATCTTAGATGTTAACTAATTTAACCCCCTTTTTTTCAGATGAACCTCCTCCGGGAAATCAGAAAACATTTCTCTTTACCTATCACTAGGTCTCCTCTAAAAAAAACTCTTCTTAGATTATTGTGCAGCTATCTAACCCAGTCCTTGCATATTAGCAACAAGAATGAACATTTAAGGAAGAAATTCTAAAACACGCAAAAAGTTCCTTTCTGGTCAACGGTGAGCTACGAAGAAGGAAAGCTACATATGCTCAGGTTCTCGACTCTATGCTTCTCACTCCACGAAGCACAGGATCTTACATGCGATGGATCGCTCGTTCATTCTTCGAAACAGTCATGGAATCACTCATTAATTATTCTTTTTTTTAAAATATATTTTATTGATTTTTTACAGAGAGGAAGGGAGAGGGATAGTTAGAAACATCGATGAGAGAGAAACATCGATCAGCTGCCTCCCGCACCTCTCCCACTGGGGATGTGCCCGCAACCAAGGCACATGCCCCTGACCGGAATCGAACCTGGGACCTTTCAGTCCGCAGGCCAATGCTCTATCCACTGAGCCAAACCGGTCCCGGCCACTCATTAATTATTCTTAAGTTCCGACTATACCAGGCACCATGGGGATGCCCGGGACCAAGAGAGGGGACTCAGGAGGAAGCAGATTGGTGGGGAACAGTACGGCTGCTCCGGCTGAGAGTTTGTGTAGGATAAGGGACAAGGTTCATTTTGCCAAACACGGGAGGAAAGAACTTTAACAAAACAAGTTCACCCCAGTGGCCTATGGGAATTCACCCTGCGTGTCCCAGGGAGGACCTGCATGGAGTCTGCCTCGGTTTCCGGTCGATCTCAGGACCTCTGTTTTTATGGTTTCTTTTCTGGAACGACTTGAAAGGAAGTTCACTAACTTGCCGTCGGATCAAGCAGGTTTCCAGAGCAGCCACGTCAGGTTTGCCATTACAAAAAGCAAAGGCTCACAAAACCCATGTGTGGTGAACAGCAAAGCCTCGGTAAGGACGCCAGTTCCCCCCAGAGGGACTGAGGGCGAAGAAGGGGAACTCCTCAGCTGACTTCTTGCATCTAACGTCAAACAGCCCATTTTCCCTCCTGACAGGCGAGGCTGCTTTAGGAAGAGCGAACGGCGGTGGCTGCTGCTTTATAGGTGTTGGTTCCAATCAGGCTTCGCCAATCTAGGAGCTCTGAGAACATGCTCCTTGTGAAGTTAAATTAGAGGGTTCTTTTTTATTATGTTTGAATACATAATATATTGACACGGCTCAACTATCTAAACTATGAAAAAATATGTACCCCAAGGAATCCCTCCCCTCCCAGCCCCATCTACCCTTTCATCCCTCTCCCCGTCAGGTATATCGCCTTCGGATTCTTCATACAAATACGAGTAAAAAGGAGTCTACACTGAGCCGCAGCCGGCTTGCTGTCCTGTAGCAATATGTCCCGGAGAGCTCTCCATGTTAGTCCTTCTTCACCACAGCTGCGCAGCGCTCCATCGCGGGACACCCCGCTGTTTATTTCATCGGGCCTGTATCGCCCACCTCTTGGGTTATTTCTACATTTTTGTTATTATAAAAATGCCACGCTAAACACTCCTGAATGTGTGTCTTCATACATGGGCAAGGGTACCTGAAGGGAGATTTTTAGAAGAGGGACTGCAAGGTCAGTGGGTAAATGCATCCATAATCTATAGGTTGTACCATTCTGCAGTCACCAATGAGATATGAAAGTATCAGTCTCAACAACAGTGTGTTATCAATTTTTTTGTGTCTGTGTCAGTCTCATGGATGAGAAATGGCATCTCAGTACAGTTTTAAGTTACATCCTATATAATAAAACCCTAATATGCAAATCAACTGAACAGTGGAACGACTGGTCGCGATGATGCGCTCTGACCACCAGGGGGGGCAGATGCTCAAGGCAGCACCTGGGTTGAGCATCTGCACCCCCGGCCCCTCCAGAGGAAGGCGACTGGCAGTGGCAATTTGGGGTGGGGCCGGCAAGCAGGCGGCACCAGGCTCCAGCCAAGGTGGGTGCCAGCGAGGCGGGGGGTGGGGGGGCATCGCCCTGCCCGCCAGTTGCCCCACAGATGGCCCTGATCGCTGGCCAGGCCCAGGGACCCTACCCTATATATGGGGAACAGTCTCTTAGATTTAAAAATTAAAAGGGCGATCAGACAGGCAGGCAAGCAGTTAGGGGCAATCAGGCAGGCAGGCAGAGTGGTTATGCACGCAGCATCCTAGATTGTGAGAGGGATGTCTGACTACCGGTTTAGGCCCAACATCCCCTGAGGGGTCCTGGATTGCAAGAGGACGCAGGCTGGGCTGAGGAACCACCCCCACCCCCCAATGCACGAATTTCATGCACCAGGTCTCGACTTATTTTAATATAAATGAAATAAGCCTCTTTTACGTAAAGCCTTGTGTATTTCTGTTTCTTAACTGTGACACTGGCCCATTTTCTATTGCCTCATTTTTTCTTTCTTTATTTCTAGAAACTTTTGAAATAATAAATCAGGCAGGATATAGGCTAGAAATGATATACAGCAGAATTAGTCATTGGGAGATAAACTGCCATACCATTCTGAACCATCTAAAGTAATTGTCCAGCCAGCAAAAATTAAATAATTTTTAATTTTGAAAAATTAGAGCTAACTGAAGGTTTTAGACACAGACAAGCACGGAACTATCTCAAATAACCAGAAGCCAGACTTCAGATTCAAATTTCTAGAATGCTCCGACCTGGAAGGAGGTGAAAATGGCTTCAGGAGAGATCCAGCTCTAAGTGCTCGTGGCCCAAACCCCCCTGCCCCTCTCGGCTGTCCCACAGCCCTGGGCTCTCACCGTGCGAATTCTACCAGCAGATGGATGGTCCCTCGCTCCTGCCATGTGGCCTCCCAGCTCCACGCAGGGCTCAGAGAGCCCGGGTGAATGCGGTCAGGGCATGCAAGCTTGACTCAGGCGCCTGGACAAGAGGCACCAAAGAGGCCAAGAAAGCAAGACAACACCAAGTCAGAAAGGCACATGGCCAACTGGCCACTGGCTCCTGGGAGCAGAGAGCCCTGAAGGTAGATGCCAAAGGAATGATGCATGAGGAGATGCTGTGACCACCACTGTCCGGTCTTAAGCCTGATTCAGAGCAACGGGAGTAAAATCTTTCAACTCAAGGTTCTCCTCCGGAGCAGCTGTGGTTGGTCACAGGCCTCGGCTGGCACAGTTCCAGGGAAGAAACCTCAATGTCAAAATAAACTACATCAGGAGGGGTAGTGGGAACTGTGTGCTGAGTGCCCGCTGTGCCAGGCATTGGGCTAAATCCTCTGCACGCATTTCCTCATTTAATCTGCACAGCAGCCCTGAGTAGGCATGGCGCACATGTGACAGATGTGGAAACCGAAGTTCAAAGTAACCTGTCCAACATCACAAGAAAAAAAAGCAGCGGCCCTGACGCCCGGAAGCTGCCGGGTCCTATGGCCTCGTCCCGGTGGTGCCAGGCGCGGGCCAGGCATTCCCCTGGCGAACACGGACAACGTCACAGAACATCAGGCGGGGCCACGCTGGTCACGACAAATCACGACAAAAACCAAGACCTCTCACAATCTTGACTGAACACAGACAAAATCTGAACACTGTCCAAACCAGAAAAA